ACAACAGGTGCACCTGTTACTAATAATGGCAAAATTCATGTTGTGCTAACATGTGATCCTAACTTATTATATACTACAACTGGAGGTCATGATGATGATATTAGTGATTAATTATACATTTACTGTGTGCATGCTATAAAGTGTAATAATTATTAGTGTTAGTCAGATTTATCTCTCTCTCTTCAAGGAGTATCTTTATTGACTCTATAATTCTCGTTTGGTGTTTTACAGAATTTTATATGAATTTGTGTGTTGTGCTGATGTACTCAGTTTATTTTTTTAAGATAAGGATATAAAGTTTACCGAAAAATATTTCATTTTTTTGTTCTGCTTGCAGCATCGGTAGACTACTAGTGCATGACCGCATCACCTATGGTTTTATTGAGTATTTGGCTATTCTGTAGTGATATGTTGTGCCAAAAGATAGCGCTAATACTGTTACTGTTTATGAGGAAATTCAGCAAAGTAGTATGGAGTAAAATTTTGTTACATTGCACAGTTTATGCTGGGCTATGTAAGGAATTTACATTACTATGATTATTTTTTGAATGATGATAATTATAATAACTGCAGTTGGGATCAATTCAAACTCTCTACAAAGCACAAGGACATCATGATGTATCATGGGATGTGGTGATTTTGGAGGCATTTTTGCTTAATATGAGTAGTCAAAATGATTCAGTCTCACTCCCTAATCTCTGCAGTCTTATCCCATCAACTAGATCTAGATCTAGATCTAATTAGATTTAAGAAAAAACTTACTCGTGTGCAGTTAGATTTTAAGGTATTTTGCAGCAATTAGGGCTTGCAATCCTTGCCTACACAAAAATCTTTTGCACAATGCTGCATCATAGACCTCATGTCCAATGAATATTAATTTCCTGTGGTAGCCGCGCCCTTCATTGGCAAAAGTGCAGTGATACCTCAGAGAATTCATTCATTTCTGATGGAGGTAGAGTCTCGGGTAGAGTGTAGTTCTGAGTTCGCGGGAGACAAATTGAGGGAAGACCTCGATATACATGAACTAGAATCAGCTGATGGAGAGTTGGAGGCAACTAAGCCTAAGGAGCACTCTAACATTGACACGAACCAGTAAGAGAAGCAGACAATCCTTCACTGTCTTGCTAGTTTAGTCAGTGTTAGCTAGTTACATTTGTAGTTAGACATAATTTTTACTTTACCTGTAACAATTCAGTCACATTTTTAATGATACACTGTAATTATGGCAAAATATGATAGTAAAAGTGTCTCGAGGTGGTGTTACTTGCATGAGTGGCCTGCTGCGACCAGGATCAAAATCAAAATCAAATGTTCCAAAAGATAGACACTGAGATATCAAGACTTGCTGTAGAAGTAAATCAAGCAATCAAGAGATCAACATGCTTTTTAGTTATGTATAATAATACCTCTGTGTACGGCCATTTTTACCTAATAATTAGTTTTCATAGCTTTAGTAAATTTTTGTCATTCGAGATGCGGTTGTAGGTGAAATAGTAGTTTCAATGCAAGTGACACCATGCACCTTGATTGCTCTGACATCCTCAATTTTTATTACATTTTTATGACACATACTGATGTCCTTATGCTGCATAGAAAATTTGAGTTGATTTGACAATTTTTTTTAAATGAGAAAGTTTCCAGAAAAAAGCAAAAGCTGTAGACTCCCTAGGCGCTAAGACTATTTTGAATGAATTATTTATGGTAGCCACCCACGATTAAAATTACTGACGGCAAGAAGCTCTCCACATCAAAGGCAGATCAAAGCCCAAGGTGCCGAAATGAAGCATAGCAAGAAAACTATGTTGCAGCAAGAGTTACCTGGCCTATATGATGATGTAGTCTGGCCTCCATACTTTCCATAAATGCTGCTTGTAAGACTGTAGTACCTTGTAGCGCTCACAGAAACAGCCAGGCGGTGTCACTGCCTTTGATTTTCTTTTGATCTTGAGGCCTTCTTGCCATCAGTAATTTACATCGTGGGTAGATACCGTATAGGAAAAATTTATTTATTATGAATGAATATCATTATTGTAATCATATTCATTGAAAATAATCTTAGCTCCTAGGAAGTCTATATAGCCTACTTGAGTTTTTCCGAAAAATGGCTTCAAAATCACCCCAATTTTATTATGTTTTCCTTATGCTGTGTAGGAAGTTTGAGCTGATGCCAGAAAAATCTTTTTAAGTTAGGCCATTACAAGAAATTGGCCAATTTTTGGAAACTGAAAAGCAAAGGCTTTAGCTTATGTGTTGCGGTTCTGAAAATTGCCTGCTCTAAAATTATCCCAAATTTCCGTTACGTTTTCTGATACCAAGAGTACGTGATGGGGAGTATTGTTGGCTGCTACATCATGACGTAGAGTGTTTTATGAGTATCCAGCTAATTTCCAAGAGTAAACAAATTTACTTACCGTATACCGGTTTATTTTTGTGGTAGAGAATCTTGGCGAATCTTGCATTTCTAAAATTTTGTGGAATTAATTTTCGTGAATGGCTTGCAATCTGCACCATGTGGCAATGGAAATGCAGAATTTTGTGGTGGAAAAATTTTGCAACGGAGCAAGAAACCACGAAATTTGCAAAAATATTTCACCACCAAAATAAACCGACATAATAGCATTTACAGTTTACATAACAGAACCATGGATCAGTTTGCCCCAGTGATCAAAGGCTGGGGTAGTTCTATAGTAGCAAAAATTCAGCTCTATCAGCTCTATTCAGTTTATTCCACAATTGTCTTCTAAACCTAGAGGAGTACTCTGTCTCACTTTGCTCACTTGGAAATACCATATACTGGGAAATTTTTGAGTAGCCAAATTTTTGCGGATTTTGCGTTTTCTTGCTCCATCGCAAAAATTAAAATTGTGAAATTCTGAATTTACACGCCACGTGGTGGAGTTTACAAGCTATTCAAAAAATATTATTTTGTGAAATCTTACAAATGCAAAATTTGCGAAAATTTAGCGACGCAAAAATATCCCAATATACGGTAGTTCTTGGCTTCTTGCCTTATAGGCCACAGGAGGCTTTACAATGAAGGGGCACGTCTAACAGTTATTAAATACTACACCCAAAATGGACTTTTTTGTTAATAATGTAAAGCAGGTGCTAAAGTGACTATGTAAGCTATACAGAACACTCTATGCCATGATGTAGCAGCCTACAGTACTATAGTTAGACACCCCCCATCATGTACTCTTGCTGATACATACTTACGTTGTACATGTATGTATGTACTGTGTAGAAAAGTTTGAGATGATTCCAATGAGGAATATTTGAGTTTAAAAAATCAGCCAATCTGGAAAAGCTATACCTCTAATTTGTATTACTTTTTCTGATACATATTGATGTCCCTATCCTGCATGAGCTGATTCCGATGAATGATTTTTTGAGTTATGAGCATTTTAAAAAACCTTTAAGACCTTTGGGCAAACATACCAAGTAACATTCTCAGAAGAAAAATACCAAATTCTCATGGAAGAAAAGTGAAGTCTCTAGTCCATAAATGGCTCCAAAATCACCCCAAACTTCACAGAAATTTTTTTGTGCTATAATGAAAATAATTATTATTTTGGAATCATCATGCATGTATTTTATCATTATAATTATTTCAGGTTTCCTCCAGTCTCTATTGAAGAAGCTCCAAACAAGATAACACGATCAGAAGCAAAATGGAACAGTGTGATACTTCCTTACCTTGCCAATAACAATGAAAACAGAGAACAGGAAAGAGAAGAACAGAATAAAAAGTTAAGTTTTCTTTTCTGTCATTGATCTATGAGAGAGTCTCGAGGAGTGAGGAAATATTATAGACGTCTAAGTAAAGACCAAGTTGTATTGAAGGAAGTTATGGAACTGAAAACAGAAGAGGAGGAAGAGAAAGTAAGAGGAACAGAGTATAAACCGCTTTGTTATGACACAGCATTAGATAATGTTATCAAATCAACTGCTGATAATGGAAGCAATAATGAAATAATTCAAGGAGAAACAAGAAAGGGAAAGTTAAGTTTATTCCAACTCTCAGTAAGTTCCGCCTCTCATCTTACCCTCTCTGTTAATATCCTTTTATTTTTCATTAAACTTGCTGCATCCATTCAATCAGGATCACTCTCAGTAGTATCCAGTCTCATTGATTCAGCTCTAGACCTGTTCTCTGGAGTAACCATTGGAATCACTAGTTACCTAATGCATAATTATAACCAGTATCAGTATCCAGCAGGCAGAAATAGACTAGAGCTTATTGCTATTATCATCACTGCTGCTGTAATGGGGACTGCAGCTCTACAAATCATCACTACATCCGTTACTGATATTATTAATAATTCCATCAATCCAAACATTAATGGGTTCTCTGGTTCTATAATAGGACTCACAATCCTGTTGAAAGGTATCCTCTTTTTGCTTTGTTATCGACTTGACAGTCCTTCTGTAAAAGCACTCAATGGATCACAGAAATGACTTTGCTTCAAACATTGCAGCTCTAATCTTTGGAGTTCTTGGTACGTACGTATGGAGATATCTTGATCCAATTGGAGCAATCCTACTCTCATTATACATAATGATAAACTGGATACTAGTTGGCAGGGAGCAGATGGTAAATCTCACAGGCTATAGAGCTGATAGACGATTCACTAGCAAGCTGATATGCATTGCACTCCAGCATAGCAAGGAAATACAGCAGGTGGATACGGTTCGAGCCTACACATTCAGAGTTAGGTATTTAGTTGAGATGCATATTGCTCTGAGTAGGGATATGAGACTGGAGGAAGCTCATGATATTGGGGAGACACTACAATTGAAATTCGAATCTTTGAAGGAAGTGGAGAGAACTTTTGTTCATCTTGACTTTGAAATAGGACATGCACCATCTAGCGAGCATATACTCACAGGACCTGATGATTAGTGCATCAATTGAGTTATTACTATTATTATTGGTAGATCTATTATTATTTTTATCATCATGCTATAAGTATCATTTGTGTTGTGTCTTTCTCTCTGCTCAATGATATCAGTTTCTGTAAAGGAAAAAAGAATAATACATGTATTTTAAGTATGTGTTGTGGCTCGGATATTGTGAGACATTTTTTGTCATCCATTATAAAAATTAAAATTAAATAAAAATAGTTATTTTTGAAAGGCCATGAAAACTATTACAGTATCATCAATATAAGAGTCATACAGGAAAAGGCTAAAATACTGAGTTATCACAGGCTCAGTCTGATAAAAAATCTTTCCACATTAGCTTGGACACTTCCAAATTCCTCTGGATAATCTTTACAAACTTGCAGGACCTTCCTCCAGGTCACTCCTTTATTGGAGTCCATTCATCTCTGGAACAATAGTATCAACTTATCAGAAGCAGTTGCATAGAAGCTCTATGCAACAAATCAGCAACTTGAACACCAATTGCATGCAGTACCAATGAGCACAATAATGGAAAGAACTTTTAAAGACTTCTTGTCCAAAATGTCTGCATAGTAAATTTCAAAAAAATTACAATAAACTTTTACTTTATTCCGGCAGAAACATAATGACTAATTGTAAAATGAGACTTAGCAGTAAATCAAGTTAATGATGCATGTAGACATGTACATGTTTAGTTACACTTAGTGAGCTAAAAAGCATGCTTCATGAGCTGGCAAGCACTGTAATACTATACGCATTATATACACGGGTGCATCAAAGGCACTGCCTGTTTCATTATTTTGCATAATAGAATGGTTAGCACTGGAAGTGAATGTTAATTGCTTGGCTTCACAATAGCTAACAGCATGTACTGTGTGACTTTGGCAAAATTTGGCCAAAGTCCCTATATGGGATTTTGGCCCAATTTTTGAGAAACTTAAAAAATTCATAAAAATCCAAATTTGATTGAAATCATGCAACTTAAACCTTTTACACAACATACAAGAACATATATGTATCAGCAAAATTTATAAAAATACAGAATTCTTGGTACCAAAACACCACCACATGCATACTAAAAATTAATAATAATAAAAAATAATGAAGCACATAATTAATATTTTAATTTTAATTTTATTATTATTCTAAATTATCATTATCTATTTCATGAGTGAGATTTAATCTTCTAAAACTGGTTAAAACATAGGTTACCCTAAGTTTAAGGTGCAAGTAATACTCACCGGTTCTTTCCATTCCATTTTGCTTATATTTAACAACCAACAGTCCTTGATAAGTAATCCACCCACCACTAGCTGTGGTCCTGAGCTACAGTTGATCAATACACTGGAATGACCCTATCTCCCCTTAGGTCAACGTACAAATCTTCCAGGTTTAGAAAACTTTGTACAATTCTAAAATAAAAATACAGTGTCCATGTATTCATGATTCATCACAAATAATGGTCACACAAAACACAATTATTAGTATAAAATTATACTAATAGCATATGATACATGCACTCACTGTTAATGTGTCAGTAAATTTTAATATATGTTCTTAGCCTTTTTATCACCAATACTATCACCTAATAATACAGCAGTGGCTTTATTATTTTTATTGATGTTAAGTAACTGTTCCATAATATTTTATAGACATTTGATTTTAGTGTTCAATAGGAGAGAGAGATTCTGTAGTTTATTATAGGGTGCAGTGGCGTAGCCAGGATTTTTGGAAAAGGGGGGGGGGCAAGCTGTGCGGCGCGCGAAGCGCGCCGCGAAATTTTGCGAAGCCACCCCCTTTTGGTAGCGTGGCTACACCTATTTTTCAACATGGCGGACTTCTTAACCTATTATAGGCAACGTTGAATACCTTTTCAGCCTTATAATGGCATCATAGAAAGACTGCTTTGGCCTTTTCCTTTGATATGTAAGTTGTAGAACAGCTTTTCCTTCCAAAAGCAGTTTATTATTTGATTATTTTTAAATTTTGAGTTTTAAAAAAGGGGGGCAATTGCCCCCCTTGCCCCCCCTGGCTACGCCCCTGGGGTGGGAATCTCTTCTGTGAAAATAGAAGAATCTTATGGCTTTGTTGGGTCAGTTGGGAGTATAGTGATACAGTATGTCACACCATACTCACAAAGGTGTATAGTTATTAATTAGGCTCAAGCAAATGTACACTTGTGGTATTTTGTCGAATGGCTTCAATGTAGTGGTCTCCATAGCATTTGGAAACCTCATTCATATCATTAACATCAAACAGGATTATTCATGAATGGTTTAAATTTTACTAATTGAGAGTACCCGTATAGCTCCAAATTTTTATTAGTCAAAAATTTCGTCAAAATCTCAATTTCTTGTTAAAATTAATTTTCATGAATAAATAATTATCTGCATACTAGCCATGTGGAACAAAAATTTCGTCATTAAAAATTTTTTTCAAGCAAAAACACTTAACAAATTTTGACTAACAAAAAATAAGAGCCATTATGGTAAAATAAAAGGCATTGGAAATGGGGGCGTAGCCTGGTTGGTGTTGCTATAGACTTTGGCGGCTGCAGAAGTCCAACTCAGCCTAGGCATTTCTAATTAAAGGGGTGTGGTAAAAGGGTTAAATAGCATTGTTTCTACTTCCGGTCTAATTTTTAGCCATGGTTAATCTTACCTCGGGTCCACCTGCCTACCGTGGTCCACCGTCCTCTGTACCGATTGCCTAAAGAATGAGACGGTGGCCACACTGCCCTGAGGAAGTGTGGCCAATGTATGGGCCCCACTTCAGCCCCTCCCCCCAGAATAACCGGGCCTTTCATGCATTCCGGTCCACCATGCCGGGGGGTTCTCCGCCCACGCAATGACATTCTGTGGGCGGACTAAACCCCCTGGTCTCCTGCCCCCTCATTGTGGTTGCACGAGGTGTGCCTCGAGGGGGAATCCGGAAACCCTCAAGGTGGTCCCACCCATATTTGGGGTGGGGCCAACCATCGGAGGGGATGACCCACAGATTATTATCTAGGGGGCAGAGCTTCCGTGGTGCCCAAACAGCCCACTACTTCCTTAAATTCTTCCTCCCCCAACCTGTCTCTCTTATGTCTCAACAATATTAATATGATAGATAATAAGTCAAGAAGGGAATAACTAG